ATATATATATATGACATGTAGTAATCTAAAAAACAATCTGGTGTTTTCACTACTTAGCTTTAGGAGGCACGCGATATCAAATATGATACGTCAACAACTGTAATTCTTTGACATGATTACTCAGACTCGAAAAGATTTTTCATCGAAGTCTCGTAATTTTTCTAATTAATAATCCCACAGTGTTTCAAGCGGTGGAACGTTTAACCAATGCAAGCTTTATACGCCGTTGCTCCTCCAATATAAAAGTTGATCCATAAAGCACTCAAATTTTCAGATTTTACATGGCTTACCATAACTCGCCTGCTAAGATCTGAGGTAACGATGAATGGTCTGAACTCTGTTAACAAATAGAAGTGCATTTCGTCAACGTCACGTCGCTTTTCAGATAGCGTCGTCTTGTAGTACGCTATAGTAGCTAGATAATTACAAGTAGAGGAGTCGTCGTACGCGCAATGTACGTTAACTAATACTCCCTATTCAGGAACGGGGAATTTTAATTCATCAGTTTACGCAACAGATTAGCCGAAAACAAGCACTTCTCTGCGGCTATTCTCGGCGATGACGGAGTTTGCGGTGTTCCAAGATGTCCTTTAAGATCTTTAATTATTTTTGACGCAGATCTACGGGCCATGTGAGCAAGAGAACGTCATTCACGGACATGGAACCTCTCACATCGTGCGTATGAAAGAATACTCAATTCAATTGCACAAGGTTAGTAAGCGTGATTGTTTTAAGATAAACCTGGACTACGCCAGACGCACACTACGTCCAATCACGATACATTTATGTATGTGTAGATGAATATCTTCAATACAGTTAGATTTAAATATGAGCGAATAGACATTTGTGAGATATAATCCATCCTAGTCTACTTAGTTTTTTCTTTAAGTTGTACGTACTTGTAAACAATACTTTTAGCGTCAGAATATATCGCTGTGTATCGCTCAATGCTTGCCTTGTGTCTTTTAGGGTATCTGATAAGTTTCATTACTTGAGCTTCATGCATGATGACTTCGCGTTAAGCATGAAGCATTCGATTTCGAAGCTGCCTGCTATGGCTACAGGAGAAGCTTTTAGCGAGAACTTTGCATGAGGGCAGTTTCCTTTTCAACAGGCTTAATTCGTTTGAATACAAGAGACTCACAAAAGCGTACGTTCGGGAACGGCATATTTACATAATATCGCCTATAAAGTGTACCTCCCGTATCTGTAATGCTATTTTGCTCATTAAGGCACAAAACAATGAACCAACCCCTGAGGGCAATTTACATTCGTATGGTTTCCCTTGCAGATAGCTTTACTTAAAACGCGAAAGTGCCCTCATTTTTCTACAGCAGACCTATCTGAATCTGTCAAAATTTTCAGTGAGGTTTACGATAAACTGGGTAGCTTGGTGAGAGCAGATGGACCGAAATTCATGGATTATCGTACGAAACCTCTCCATTCGTAGTTTAGCCAAAAATTTCACCTGGATCTACAGTAAACCTCTAAACGATTTTTTCGCGGGCATCCACCTCAAGGGCACCGTTCAAGAGAACAGGATTTGCAGTATCCCGAAGGTGTGCCAACTTATTCTTGTGTTTTAGCTAAATTGTATCATAGGAATACTGAAACGAAAAGGTGAAGTACAAACCACTCTGGCTCAACCAGTACATACATTCATGCAACGCCAGGAAGTTTTCAACGAAGTATTGTACATTTGTGTATCTCGCATATAACTGGTCTTACTTTCCGACACAGAGTTTCGCTTAGGATATAGATGACTCTAATACAGACGTGATGTGTAGCTGAGAAGGGCTTTTGCTTGCAGTCCCGTTTCTTCTCTATCTACTGCGAACGCTGGTGGCCAGGAAACAATGTTGGCAAAGCAATACTCGGAGCTTAAGGTATAAGAAGTAGGAGCAGTGTACTCGGGCTGCAGCAGTGGTAGATTGGGACGAACGCTCTGTCATCCCTCCAAATGCTCGATTGTGGTAGCTCAGCTGACTGCGTGTCATGTGCCCGGAGCCGACGACAAGTTTGGCGTCTAAAGTTTGCCAAA